CAAATTTGAGGCTGTTTTGGGCACCTTAGTGAGATGACCCTGTTTCAAAATAAAAAATAAAAAGTGCTGGGGATGTAACTCAGTGGTAGAGTATCCCTGGGTTCAGTCCCCAGGGTCACTACCCTCTCAAAGTGATGCCTTCTGCCCCTTGACTGCTAAGGGGCAGATAAGATGACAGATAAGATAAATTGAACAAGTTGCTAATGAACAGTGGACGCAAAACTCAAGTATTTAATTTAGAACAGTTTGCATACTTTTTAAGATGGAGACCTGTATAATATAGTCATAGGTTCTACTTAATAAAATAATTTCTTGATTACAAAAGAATTAAGTCATGAATGTCTTGTGGTGGTAAGCAAAAAAGCACCACGATGATGGAATATTTATATCCTAGTAAGTTTTTTTTGGGGGGGGGTACTGGGGATTGAACACGGGAGCACTCAACCACTGGGCCACATCCCCAGCCCTATTTTGTATTTTATTTAGAGACAGGGTCTCACTGAGTTGCTTAGCGCCTTGCTTTTGCTAAGGCTGGCTTTGAACTTGAAATCCTCCTGCCTTGGCCTCCCAAGCCACTGGAGTTACAGGCATATGCCACCGCACAAGATCCCTGAGTAAGTTTAAACCCACCTTGAACATGTTCATTCTGAGTCAACAAATGCTTTTTGATTAAATGTTACTTTGTCCCACATAGTGTGTCAGGTATTAGTATGCAAACATAAGTAAAACTCTATAGAAGTGTTACCCCATTTCATTCTTTAAACTGAGGACCCTTTTTTTTTTTTTTTTAATCCTCTACCTCCTTTATCCTGAGTCTCATGTTTTGGGATATTGTGTGCACCTATTTTTATTTTATTTTAATTAAACTTTAAAAAAAAAAAGTGGTCAAACTCAAGGATGCTATCCTAATGTCTTTTAGTTACATCCCCAGCTCTTTTTTCCTTTTTTTTTTTTTGAGACAGTGTCTCACTAAATTGCTTACGCTGACCTCAAATTTGCAATCCTCCTGCCCCAGTCTCCTGAGTAGCTAGGATTTCAGGGGGTATGCCACTGTGCCCAGCTCCAAAATTATTTATTTTTGTTTCTGGTTTTGTTTTTGTGGTGTTGGGGATTGAACCGGTGGCCTTGTGTATGTTAGGCAAACACTCTACCAACTGAGCTAAATCGCCAGCCCCGAAATTATTTATTTTTAAAAATTAGCATAGTATAATGGTTAGCATGAGATGGCCTTCAACAAGTCAGTATAAATTTAGTTCAGATAATTTTATCTCAGGTGAAAGTACTCTTAATTACTCTTGAATGGAAAGTACCTCATAGTTCTTTATTACTTCTTCCAAGGGCTTGAGGATCTCATTTTCCCTGGTTGAAATACCCTTTCCAGACTTTCTGATTCCATAACCCTTCTGCCTTTGCCTCACCTTTGTTCCTGTTTATTAACATTATGGTTTTATGATTAAAATTAAACTGTTTATTCTGGAAAGTCAGTTGTGATAATTCTGTAAAGTATCAAATGGAGATTTCTTAAAGTCACAGTTAAACTTCTGTAACTTACAAAACATTTGCATGGGAAAAATCAAATTAATCTCTGGTTGTTTTGTAGGACATGGGAAGATTATAGTTAGCTTTTGTAGTACTGGATAATTAGAACTCTGTTTCAAGTAGAAAGTGTTTGTTTTTAGGGGCTGAGGTTGTGGCTCAGTGGTAGAGCGTCTGCCTTGCCTCTGTGAGGCACTGGGTTTGATCCTCTGCACCACATAAAATAAATAAATAAATAAATAAATAAATAAATAAATAAATAAATAAATAAATAAATAAATAAATAAAACAAAGTTGTTCAACTAAAAAAGTTAAAAAAAAAAAAGAAAGTGTTTGTTCTTATATAAACCTTATAATCTTGCTTGATGTTTCTGTTTAGTGTTTCCTGAGATGTACTATAAAGAATATGCTACAGTTACAAAGAAAAATACCTAAATGATTCTGAAAGTAGTCACTTTTTTTGTTTGTTTTTTGGTACTAGGGATTGAATCCTCCTGCCTTAGCCTCCTGAGCCTCTGGGATTACAGGCAAGCACCTGGCTCCACTGCATTGACTTTTATGTTTACTTCTGCTTTATTAGTGTCAATCTTTTTTCTTTTGGCAGGGTGGGGGTTACCGGGGATTGAACTCAGGGGCACTTGACCACTGAGACACATCCCCAGCTCTTTTTTGTATTTGTTTTAGAGACAGGGTCTCACTGAATTGCTTTGCACCTCACTTTTGCTGAGGCTGGCTTTGAACTCGTGATCCTTCAGCCTTCTGAGCTGTTGCCATTACAGGTGTATGCCATTGCACCTGGCCTATTAGGGTCAATCTTTAGTCCTTACCCTTATTAATGCAGACTGATATCAGGGCACTTTACCACTGAACTACATCCCCAGCCTTTTTTAGTTTTTTATTTTGCGACAGGGTCTCAATTGCCCAGACTCCTCTTGAGCTTGCTATCCTCCTGCTTTAGTCTCACGAGTCTTTGGGATTCCAGGTGTACACTACCATGTTCACTAACTTTTTAGACATTTCAAAGCTCTGTGACCTGCTTGTGCATTAGGTCCACAAATGTTCTATTTTATTCCCTTCACATGTTAAAAGAGGATTATTTTGTCTAATTATAGGTAATTCAGGAGGCATAACATCTTTTTTATCACTGTTTTATGCCCAGTGCCTTGAAAAGTGCCTGAAGTGTAGTAAGAGTTAATAAAATATTTGCAGTAAATATTTGCATTGAATGAATCTTTATAACAGCAACAGAAATAGTGGTTTTCTTACATCTATCTATAGACAGTTCAATCATTTGAATAATCATTTTAGATACTTCTTTATTTCTATAGGGAAGTCATGTATATGTCTTCTCTTTCTAAAGTGTGGCTAATTACCAGAATATGATTGCCTTTTAAATATTTTCTTCCTAGAGTATGTCCCTTTAAATATAGTGTTTCTCTAAAAGAAAGTTTTTTTCTATAATCCAGTTCTTTGGGCTAGCTTTGTAGATTTGTATATCCTTAAATATTTTAAATTCACAATGAATTCTTAAGGATTTGTTTTCAGAGACAAGGTGGCTATAGGTAATCATTTGAGTTTTAATTTTTGTTGTTATTGAGGTTTTTGGTTGGTTAGTTTTTGTTCTTTGGTACCAGGGATTGAACATAGGGGCACTTAACCACTGAGGAACATCCTCAGCCTTTTTTTTTTTTTTTTTTTTTTTTTTTTTTTTTTTTTTGAGGCAGGGTCCTGCTAAGTTGCTTAGGATTTCTCAAAGTTTGCCAAGGCTGGCCTCAAACTTGCAGCCTCCTGAGTCACTGAAATTATAGGCATTCACCACCATGCCCAGCTTGGTTGGTTGATTTTTGAGACAGGGTCTCATGTTGCCTAGGCTATCCTTGAACTGCACTCAAGCAGTCCTCCTGCCCAAGCCTCCCAAGTAGCTTGACAGCAGGGATACACCACCATGCCCAACTTTGTATTTTATCTTGTTCACTCTGGTTATAAATCTTAATGCATTTGCATTTTAATAAGACCTGTTATATAATAAGAGCATTTATTTCTACTATAATAGAAATAAAATGACCTTTTAGTGTATAGACAAGTAGAACTCAATGGTAGAGCACTTTGTAATCCCAGTGACTCAGGAGGCTGAGGCAGGAGGATCACACCGTTCAAGGCCAGCCTCAGCAACTTAGCAAGACCTGTCTCAAAAAAAAAAAAAAAAGACTGGCGATATCGATCAGTGATTAAGTGCCTTTAGGTTCAATCCCCATACCAAAAAAAAAAAAAAAAAAAACTTTGAGTTTTGTAGAGAACACATATTACCAGATAGTCTGCTACCTATCTTTTGAAAAGTTATCACTGCAAATTATTATTGATAGCAAAATTAATAATTAAGTTTGTTTGTTTTAAACTTGGTGCAGCCTCTTCCTGTCTGTATTATTTAGTGTCTTTTCCCATTGTGATTTTTCCATGGCCTATAGCCTCTTTAATAATGTTAAGAAACTAGTACTTGGCCCAGGCAGTAAGTCATGTGTCCCTCAGATTGCTTTGAAAGCCAAACTTTTTATTTTCTGTGAGTTAACTCTGAATGGGGTAATTGCAAATTTTATGGTTCTTCTGGTGCCCTTTTTTTGTTTTTGTTTTTGTTTTTGTTTTTGAGACAAGGGTCTCACTAAATTGCCCAGGCTGGCCTGGAACTGGTGATCCTCCCATCTCAGCCTTCTAGTAGTGAGGCTTAAGGCATGCAGCAAGGTGCCCTGCTTTAATGCTATTTTTTACTGTAGTTTCTCTGAAGCTCTCCTTCAAAGGTTGGCTTTGTTGCTTGGGGAAAGATGAATGTTGGTTGGCCTGGGAAGTCTTCATTAGCAGGAAACAAAGGGGAGAACCACTTAAAGAGTTTTATTCGGTTATAAGAAAAATTCACAGCAGTCTCCAAGCATTGAATATACAAGATTGTTTTCTGGACCTCTTAATTGTTATATATTTTCAGAGAGGTCTTGAAACCCAACCCCTGTTCCCCATACTCTTCCCCAAACCTTCTTTTAGTGAAGCAAATGAGTTGATCACTGTCCAGTTGATCTGACCTGGTCTTTGATGTGATTTCTTTATGGAAAAAATCCYATATTTGCCCCATTTGGTAATCCCATTATTAGTAGAACGAATAGTTAAATGGGAGATTGGAAGCTATAGCTAATTCTCTCCCTTTAAACGGACTGGCACCTCCACCCCATCCCCCAACTCTTGCATTACTGAAAAGGAGAGTGTTCATGTTCTCAAGTAGCAGTACAAAAATCTCACACCCTTGTCTGACCAGTATGAAAACAGCTGTTACAGCACAAAATGTCCTTCCTCTGTCCTCAGCTGAAATTGGGGGAGGGACAAAGCCCAATTGGTACTTTACACTATCCTGTCTGCCTGCTAGAAGGCCTGTTTCCTACCCTAATGGTTTCTTCCTAACAAATGGTGTTTCTTTTTTACAGCATTATGATCCTGGACTTGTTGTGGTGATGGTAAACTTAGCAGTGGTAATTTTTTATTTTCAGACTGAATTACTCCTTTTGTCATCAGTGCACCAATATGTTAGGCTTACTTTCTCTGTTGTAGCCTTCATCCTTCTGCTTGGTCTTTTTCATTTTCCTTTCCTTTCCTTATGCAACTTGTCTGATCCTTGTTCATTAAAGGGTAATGTTAAGAAGGAATGTATCTGTGTTAGAACTGCCCCCCCCCCAAAAAAAAAATCAGTTACACATTAAATTCTAATACTGTCAAAAACTTGATTCCCCCCCCCCAATGTAATGGGCACTAGCACTTGGCTACTGCAATTTATAAATAAATTAAAACAAACTTTGACTGCCTTAGAAGGCAAAAGTACTAATGCAGAGTTTATAAACAGGGGTTTACAGAGGTAATGAATTTGTACCAAAAATATTTTGATTCTTAAAAAACAAATTCTGATAGATCAAAAAAGAAACAAAAATAAATTTCTTTTCAATTCTGTCATTGGACCATTTGTTTTTACCAGTAAATCCCTGATTGAGACGTTATGAAAGTGATATTGCACTTAGGAAGTCATTTTTATAACCTGTCTTTAATTTGGTCCTTTTGCTAAAGATTGCAGTCACTGCTTATTTATTATACCATTGGGCATAAGGTAGTAGTGCATTTTCATTAGTATCTAAAAGAAGACTGTATTCTAGAAGTTTTTGGGGTTTTTGTTTTTTCCCCTGATGTAAGATGTTATTTATTGACTTAAAGCAGTTTTTTAAACTATAGTAATTATTCCTAATTATCTCCCTATTTATTGTTTAAAAACAATAATGGGATTGTGGTACTAATTAGGTAAACTTCTGAATTTGTTTTTAGGACAAAAATTAAATCCCACAAATATGGAGCAACTGGATACAAGTGGTTGCTAGTCATTTCATTTTGAAAATGGTTTCTTCTTTTTTCTGCAGGACCCAAGCCAGTCATGATCATCAAATTTTAAAAAATTTTTTTCCATTACTTCAGATTTAGCCTGACAAAACTCAGTTTTTAGCCCAAAGGTATAATATATATGTGTATATAACAAAACAACAACAGCAACAACAAAAACAAAAACAAAAAAAAAACAAAAACAATTGTTTACACCAGCCTGAGTGAAATGATGAGGGAAGTAAACATTGTGTTTTTTCACTAAAGGTGTACAACGGATAAGGTAAGTCCTCTTTTCAGTGGGCTTACATCACAATGAACAGCACAAGTTGTGATGTAAAACAGCTGTGGTAGTAAAGTGCTTGTCTGCCCCATTTTGCTTTGTTTGGCTGGTTATGAGTGGATTAAATATATATTTATGAAAAAAAATCTCCAGCATAGATCAATTAGTTTAAAGTCAATTTTCTTCGCAATTAGTCCTTTTCACAGCTTACTGTTGACCACAGCCGGTATGAAATCCACTTGGGGAAATGGGACCTCAAGCACCAGATTAAAACTAAAAAATTTTCACAGCCCCATTTAAAATTGTAAGCATCGTTCGAAAATAAAGCAAACCCATACTGACTTGTAATTATAGAATTTTACTACATCATGTTTAAAAATATTACTTTGACTATTTTAGATTATCAGATGAGTTATTACCAGTTTTAAGTAAGGGGAGATATTAGTGGACAGGGTAAAGTGATTTTTGATGGGAATTTGTTCTTGGATTGTTTCAAAAAAGAACTTCTAATGTTTTAAATTTTAAACCTCCTGGTGCCATTTCTTAGAATTGGTTTGCATTACTTACTATTTTAATTTTGCCATAGTAATGTGGAGTTGTCTCCAACTGGAAGTCAACCAAAGTGGTTAGTTGGGTTTAAACTAGGACAGGAAGTTTTGGATGTAAGCTGTGAGAATGGCTTGTGTTTGGTTCACTGTAGCTTTCTGGTCTCTGCACTCCAAGGCAAGATCTCTAACCACCCAAACCTAATGTGTAAAGTGAGCTGTTGGCTTAACTTTGTGTCTTACCTTTATTATGTGTTCCTGTTACAGGAAGAACAGATCCCATTCCAATTGTTGTCAAGTATGATGTCATGGGCATGGGTCGAATGGAAATGGAGGTAAATTGATCTCATTAACCACTAATTTAATGGATGTTTAAAATTGATGTTAACTTTAAATTTAGATGCCAATAGAGCATGCTTATCTGATGGAATATAGATTTTTTTTGGGGGGGGGGCTCAGATTGAACTCAGGGGGCACTTAACCACTGAGCCACATCCCCAGCCATTTATTTATATATATATGTATGTATACACAAACACACACACACACACACACACACACACACACACATATATATTTGTGGTGCTGGGGATTGAACCCAGAGCCTTGTGTGTGAGAGGCAAGAACACTCCCAGCTGAGCTATGTCCCCAGCCCCATTTTTATATTTACATATTTTAATATTTTTTAGTTATATATGGACACAATAGCTTTATTTTGTTTATTCATTTTTATGTGGTACTGAGGATCAAACCCAATGCCTCACATGTGCGAGTCAAGCGCTCTGCCACTGAGCTACAACCCCAGCCCCTCATTTTTTATATTTTATTTAGAGACATGGTCTTGTAAATTGGTTAGGACCTTGCTACGTTGCTGAGGCCGGCTTTGAACTCATGATCCTCCTGCCTCAGCCTCCTGAGCTGCTGGGATTACAGGCGTGTGCTACTATACCCAGCCAGATGGAATATAGTTTTAATAATTTCCTTTGGACAATTAAAACTATTTTTTTACAGTCTAATTTAGTACTATTTTCGAAGCAAATAGGATGTAAATAATGTCACTGTTTTAACTGGGGCATAAAGAGTGGCTTGCCCAGGATTATACAGCGAGGCAAGATCAGACTTAGACCCAGACCTAGTGCTTATTTCAATAGACAGTGTTAATTTTTTAAATATTTGTGGGGTAGAAAACTTCCCCTTGTAGAGTTGTGTATAGATATCATCTGTGATGCCTGGGATTTTTCTTTTTTTGGTACTGGGGATTGAATCCAGAAGTGCTTTACTACTGAGTCACATCCCCAGCCCTTTTTTATTTTATTTAGAGACAGGGTCTCAATGAGTTGTGGAGGGTCTCACTAAATTTCTGAGGCTGCATTTGAACTCGAAATCCTCCTGCCTTAGCCTCCCAACATGCTGGGATTACAGGCGTGTACCACTCTGCCTGGCAATACCTGCTTTTTTAATTGCCTCAAATATTTTATTAATTTACCCTTAATTCTTTGGTAGTCAGCAGAGAACTGCAGTCAATTATCATCAACAAATGTGCCTGTTGGGGAAGCCACCATCATGAAAGGATTAATGAATTCATTTTTTTTCCTAATTTTTATTAGTTATTGATGGATCCCTATTCATTTATTTGTTTATATATGGTGTTGAGAATTGAACCCAGTGCCTCACACGAGCTAGGCAAGTGATCCACCACTGAGCCACAGCCACAGCCCCAGATTAATGAATTCTTTTGCATGCTATTTTCTCTGTGGGGTGACAATAAAGCTACCTCATGGTAGCTGAGCAAAATTCATAAGTTTTTATTTTCAAACATTGTAGTACAAATAACTTTTTCTTTCTTTTTTAATATTTATTTTTTTTAGTTGTATTTGGACACATACCTTAATTTTATTTACTTATTTTTATGTGGTGCTGAGGATCGAACCCAGCATGCTAGGCGAATGCTGTACCACTGAGCCACAACCCAGCCCGAAAATAACTTGTTCATAGCTAATCTTAGGATACTTTAGGAAAGAAAACTAATTATTATCTCTTTTGTCAAGCTCGATTATGCTGAAGATGCTACCGAACGCCGCCGTGTCTTAGAAGTAGAAAAAGAAGACACAGAAGAACTGAGACAAAAGTACAAGGTAACTAAATGAAGTCATTCTTGTGTCATTGGTCTTCACGCTATAAAAGAGATACTCATTTTTGGTGAAATAGATCTCTCTTGATGACAGTATTTATTTACATTTGGTGGTGACTAGTAGTAGTTTTCAGGTTTCTGTTATTTTCCTATTTATTGCCTCTGTAAAAATTATAAAGATACTACTACTACCTCATAAGTCTGTTGGTAAGATTACATTAGTTACTGATTTAGTTTTGTTTTTTTGTTTTTTGTACTAGTGAATGAACCCAGGTGTGCTTTACCACTGAGCTACATCCCTAGTACTTTTTGTTTATAATTTTGAGACAGGGTCTTAGTTACTGAGGCTGACCTCAAACTTGTAATCTGCCTGTCTAACCCTACCAGGTTGCATGTGCTACCATGCCTGACTAGTTARTACTTGAAAACACAGTACTTGGTACACATATAATCAAGCAGTAGCAGAGGTAAAATTGTTAGTGAAAGGACTGGGAATGTAGCTCAGTGTTAGAAAATTTGCCTAAAATGTTCAATGCACTGGGTTCAATCCCTAGTACCACCAGAAAAGAAAAAAGAAAAGTACTTTGAAAGCTTGATGCCAATGGATAAGGTTTTCCTTTTCTCTCTCTCTTAAATGAACGAGATAAATTTTAAAATAGCTAGTTGAAATTTTTTTGTTCATTGCTAATTAAACTCAATTCTAAAGCACTGATTTATTACGCCCTGTGTAAGTATCAAGTTGAATTTTATTCTTTCGGTATTTTCCTTTTATAAGGACCTAGTTATATATAAAACTGTAGTTCAGAACATGTTGTAAGTTAGCTTTCAAAAAGCTGGCCAGGTCAGGCTGGGCACAGTGGCACATGCCTGTAATCCTAGCAGCTCGGTAGGCTAAGTCAAGAGGATTGCAAGGGGCTGGGGATGTGGCTCAAGCGGTAGCGCACTCGCCTGGCATGCGTGGGGCCCGGGTTCGATCCTCAGCACCACAAACAAACAAAGATGTTGTGTCCGACAAGAACTAAAAATAAATAAATATTTAAAAAAAAAAAAAAAGAGGATTGCAAGTTGAAGCCAGCCTCAGTAATTTAGCAAAACCCTTTCTCAAAATTAAAAATAAAGGGCTTAGGTGGTAGCTCAGTGGTAAAGCACCCCTTGGTTCAATCCCCAATACCAACAGGGTGGAAAAAGCCTGATCAAGGATCATTCCTTTTAAGTCATTATAGTGCACTAAGTCTCTTCCATAAAATAGGTAAATTAGAAGATACAAAACAGACTTAACTAAGATTATCACATAGAAACTTATTTTGCTCATGATATTTAAGGTGAAAAAGAAATGTGATTTAGTTTTAAAAATCTGTTCTACCATAAAAAGGAGGAGTTCAAGAAGCAAAACTATAGCCCATCAGCTATGTGAGTTATCGTTACCCAGGAATTTATGAGATCTTATAAGGTCTCACAACTACTTTGAACTGCCCATAAATTTAATCTAGGATCTTGACTTCTTTAAAGTAGTGTGGAAGAAGGAAAGGAGTAATATATTTCAGCCAGTGGTCATAAGGATTTATTGTCAGCCTTAAAAATCAAAGATCTGTTATTTTGCCAGGCATGATGACACATGCCTGTAATCTCAGTGACTCTGGTGTCTGGGGCTGTGGGATTGAAAGTTTGGGCAATTTAAGGAGAACCTGTCACAAAATAAACAAGTAAAGAGGGTTGGGGATACATAGTTCAGTGGTAGAGCACTTGCCTAGCATGACTCGAGATCCTCCTGCCTCAGCTTCCCATGCCCTTGGGATTACAGATGTGTGCCACTGTGCCCACCCAGCTGACTGTCAGTTTTTGATTTGTGTATTTTGAAGTTAACAGTGTTTATCTTACCAGTGAAGTGAATTCTAGTGATAATGTCTGTTTTGCTGACAACTGGCTCTGCTTAATTTGTATGGTGTATGTGTTTGTATTTCCATTTCTTTAACATCCACCTCTGTAAGGTTTCAGGTGCATCATTAGTAAACAGCATATAATTGGATTTTTTTAAATTAAGTTTAATAATCTTTGTCTTTTTGTTGGATGTTTATTTAGTCCAATGGTTTCTAAACCTGTCTGAAGACAAGAAGCATTATTCAAAATATAGTGATGCCTGCAGATTGCAATTTACTGGATATTGCCAAATGTCAATTGGTCAATGATGTAGCTGAGTTTTGGAATTTAAAAAGAAAAAAAAATGGGTGACTATAATGTGCATGTAAGTTTAGAAACCAGAGTTAAACATTTTTTTCCCCTGCTTTGATACTGGGGATTGAACTAAGGGTTGCTCTACCATTGAGCTACATCCCTGGCCCTTTTTTATTTTTTATCTTGAGGCAGGCCAATGCTGGCCTCAAATTTGTGATCCTCTTGCCTTAGCCTCCCAAGTAGCTGAGGTTACAGGCATGTGCCTGACATCCTGCCTGAGTTTGTCTATATTTAATTTATAATTACTGATATATTTGGGGCATTCTCTATTATCTTATGCTATTAATTATCCCAGGCATAATACATTTGAAGTCAAGGTTGAAGCCAGCCTGAGCAACTTAGCAAGACCATGTCTCAAAATAAAAAATAAGGACAGTGCAGCTCAAGGTAGAGCACTGTGCTCAACCCCTAATACTGGAAATAAACAAAAATGAGAGAACTATAAAGAGAAATGTTGTATCAAACATTATAGGGAGATTTTTAACATGGCTCTCATGTGATAGTAGTGGGAAAAATCAACAACATTCACAAGACTTGAACAAACAACAAATTTTACTTAATCATTATATACAGTTAAGTATATACTTATGAACTCAATAAAAAAAGAGAGAAATATAAAACATGGAACATTTGCTTGAACAATTATCAAGCCACAAAGTGATCAATGAAAAGATAAGGAAAGTCCTATGCTTGGAAATTAAATCACATCTTTACATATCCTTTAGAAAAGAAATCACAGTAGAAGTTGGTAAATATTTTGGACTGAAAGATAAAGAAGTATTATATATCAAAACTTGTAGGATAAACTAGAGCAGTATGACACATGATAGCAAATATGTATATCCTTAAATGCCATGTTAATGCTAAAGGTGTAACTCATGGTGGAGCACTTGCCTAGCATGTGTGAGACCTTGGGTTGAGTGCCCAGTACCACAAAAATTCATACATATGATAAAGTTCTTAGGAATACATCTATTGAGATGTGAAAGGCTTAACAGCAAAAAGTCTACATGCAACATTATTGAAAGTTATTTAAGAACAATTGAATGAAATGAAGTTTTAAAGTGATTTGTTTGTGGTAGCCAATTCAGTGTTGTAAAGATGTTGTTTTCCAAAAAAAAATTCTTCATATATAATTTCTCATATATTTCATTGGGTAACACACAATGAAATTCCCAATGGGATTTTGTTGGAACTTGATAGGCTGATTCTAAAATTTATATGGAACTGCCAAAAGCCAAGAATAGTCAAAGCAGACATAAACAACTATGTAAGATAGAAGGACTTGCTCTACCAGTCATAAAAGTCTTCATAAAGCTATGATAAGTAAGATAGTATCATCTTGGCACAGGGATAGGCTAATGGAACAGAAAAAATAACCAATATGCACACGCTTACATATTTTGCTACTAACTAAACAAAGAAGGTAGGGAAAAGAATAAACTTTTCAATAAGAGGAGGCTTTTTGGGGGGTAGTAGTGGTGTTAATGTTGAGTATTAAACACAGTGTCTTGTATGCACTGTACACTTTAGGCAAGCACTTTACCCCTGAGCTACCCCCACCCAGCTCAATAAAAGGTTCTAAGATAAGTGGAACCTTTTGGTTCCTACCTTTTCATATGGAACATAACAATAATTTCACAAACTCAAATAATTAATTGAAGGCAAATTACGTATTTAAAATGTAAAAGGAAAAAAGCAGGGACTGGGGTTGTGGCTCAGTGGTAACGCGCTTGCCTAGCATGTGTGAAGCATGGGTTCGATTCTCGGTATCACATACAAATAAATAAAATAAAGGTCCATCAACAACTAAAAAATATTAAAAAAAAAAAAAAAAGCAAAGTTTATTTTTTTCTAGATGTCCCTATCTAGAAATGGAAAGAGTCCTATATAAGAAGTTAGAATTTCACACTTAAGTCACTTGTAGACCTTAAAGAATTTACACTTTTCATTCACAGCAGGAATTCTTGGCTTAGATATCAGCTTTCTAAAATCAGTCCATATCCAGTGAAGGCTCTGGGCAAGGTATATGTGGAAGTAACTCCTTCTAAAATCCAGGATGTGAGGACCTCCTACAGAGAATGGGATGGCAATCAAAATTACAAACCACAAAAGAAGACAAACCATGTTGAGAAAGTCAGGAGAAGCAACTAACTATAAAAACACTATTAAGTAGCCGGGCGTAGTGACTCATGCCTATAACCCAGTGACTTGGGAGGCTAAGCAGGAGTTCAAAGGCAATCTCAGCAATTCAGAGGCCCTAAACAACTTAGTGAGAAACTTAGTGACTCAAAAAAAAAAAAAAAATTAAAAGGCTAGAGATGTGGTTTGGCGGTTAAGTGTCCCTGGTTCAATCCCTAGTACCAAAAAACTAAATAAAACACACATTAAGTATTACAGATAGGGCTGGGGATGTGGCTCAAGCGGTAGCGTGCTCGCCTGGCATGCGTGAGCCCCAGGTTCGATCCTCAGCACCACATACAAACAAAGCTGTTGTATCTGCCGAAAACTAAAAATAAATAAATATTTAAAAAAGTATTACAGATAGATTTTGAAAAAAGTATAAGAATATCTAAAATATTCAAAAAGGGAAAAGGCAGGAATAAATGAAAAAACAGCAAGAGCAGTAAAAAAAACCAGTAAAATGGAGAAAAGAATAAAATTTTAAGGGAGGGGGAGATAGGGAGGGCAGCAGAATATAACTGACACTAGGATTGCTGTATGTATACACATGGATGTATAAACAGTGTGATCCTGCAATATGTACATGTGGAAAAATGAGAATTCATACCCTATTTGAATCAAATGTATGATATGTCAAGATCATTGTATTGTCTTGAGCAACTAATAAMAAAAAAGAATAAAATTTTAACAGTTTTTAAAGAGGCATCAACTCTCAAAGCTTTTTAAAAAACATATTTACATAATCCTAATGTGTATTCATAGCATAGTTCTTTCAACTTTTCTGTATGTTTGACAATTTCCATAATAAAATGTTGGGGAAAATATCACTTAAATGAAAAATAAATGGCAAGCTAGAGACCACTAGAAAAGCAATGGCAAATTTCTTAATGATTTCAAGGACAGTGCTGTGTTTCTGGTCCCCATTTTAAGGATGAGACCAATCCTTCATATCTGAGATTTTTGTAGGCTCCTGAGACCTTATCATCATGTAACTAGGGAACTATCCACTTCTTGTATTTGAACTCCGCAATATGTTAAATTTTTGTATGTTTTATTTTATCTGGAATTATAATATGGTGCAATCTCCCCCCTTCCAACTTCCTTCCCTCCCCATTTTCTTCTCCCTGTTGCTCTGTATTCACGCTTCAATGGCTTTTGTACTTCTTACTGAGCCACTTTATTCAAGACCACTAAATACCTCTGTTAAATCCAGTAGACCTTTTCAATATTTTTTTCCTATTCTGTTTCTTGGCAGCATTCAATACAATGGGCCATTATGTCTATTTAAAACATTTTCTTTTCATAAAAGGGAAAACATGAGGTTTATTACATGCCTAAGACATGAAAGTATCACAGTTTTTTTTCTTTCTTTTTTTTTAGTTTTTTTTTTTTTTTTTTTTTTTTAAAGAGAGAGGAGAGAGAGAGAGATTTTTCAATATTTATTTTCTAGTTCTCGGCAGACACAACATTCTTGTTGGTATGTGGTGCTGAGGATCGAACCCGGGCCGCACGCATGCCAGGCGAGCGCGCTACCGCTTGAGCCACATCCCCAGCCCACATTTTTTTTTTTTTCTATGTATGTGTATGTGTGGGTGTAACTGGGGCCCAGATGTGCTTTACCACTGAGCTACAGTCCCAGTTCCTTTTCATTTTTTATTTTGAGACAGGGTCTCACTAAATTGCCCAGACTGGCCTCAAACCAAGACTCTGGGATTACAGGTGTGTGCCACCACACCCAGCTCCTTTAGTTTTAAAAGTTGATACTTTTGTGAATTTCTCTTTTTTAGCCTTTATTGTTGCTTCTGTGTAATTTCTCTTATTGTCTCCTTTTTCTGCCTGAACTTTGAATATGGCATTCTTCAGGTCCAGACTTGGACCCTGTTTTTCTTTCTGCACTGTCTATAGCCAAGAATTGTCATGACACCATGTTTCATCTTCTTTCAGAGTTCGTTTTTATCCTTTTTAGCTTCAATATTACCCTCATTAGACATCTTTACTAGTCAACCAATTTAAACAATTCTCCTTTCTACCTTATTCTCTCGCAACATCCTCTTTTATAATTATAAATTTTTGTACATTCACTTATTATACTGGTCAGAAAGGGCTTTGAGGAGAGACTGTGTCTATTGGCTTGCAAATAAAAACACTATATTCAATACTGTGCTTGGCATTTAAGTATTCTATATTGGTTGAATAAATAAATTATTTGAAATAATAGAAAAAGCCAGATATATTTGGTGAATTGTCTGAAATATAAACATTTTCATTTTTTATGTATTTTTTGAGATGTTGTCTCACTGTATTGCCCAGGCTGATTTTAACTCCTGGGCACATGTGATCTTCCCACCTCCCACTCTAGAATAGTTGGGACAACTGGCACATCTCATTGCACCTGTTTAAAATTCCACCCCCCACCCCCATACTAGAGATGGAACCCTCTGCCATTGGGCTATATCCCCAGCTCTTGGGGGGGTTTTTTGCTTGTTTGTTTTTTGTTTTTGTTTTTGTTTTGGTGGTGGTGGTTGTTTTGAGACAGRGTCACTAAGTTGCCCAGTTGACCTTGAACTTATAATCCTCCTGCTTCAACATCCCCAGTGGTTCTGAATGACAGACATGCTCTATTGTGCTGGACTCAAGAGTTGTATACTTTTCAAGCTGGATAGCTATTTGGCCTTTAACAGAAAAAACAAAACAAACAAATAAACAAAAATACTGTAGATCCATTTGGCACCTTATTATTTCATTAAATATTGACAAGGTATTTTTTAAAATATGTGTAAGATACAAAGAAAAACTATAAGCAATTGTTTGTCTTCTAGTTAATTTAGGAAAAAAAGCATTATCATTACCTTTATAATTACATTCCTTTTTTTCCTCCTTTAAAGCACTATCCTGAATTTTTGGTTTATTATTATCTTGCATTTTTTTAAGGTAGATTTTGTTGTTGTTATTGATAAAATTCATATAACACCATATTGACCAATTAACCATTTTATAGTAATATAGTTTAATGATTTTTAGCATAATCACAATGTTGTGTATCCATCACCACTAATTCCAGCACATTTACGTTACCCCAAAAAGAAACCCTTGTACCCTTCAGCCATTTGTTCTTCCTTCCTTCCCCATTCCCTTAGTAACCATTTAATCTTCTTTAATCTAATTTGAGTATTTCAAATATATGGAGTCGTACAATATGTTTTGGTATCTGATTTCTTTCATTTATCTGTGTTTTCAAGGTTCTTCCATGTTATAGCATGTATCATCAGTAATTTCTATGGCAAAATTATATTATGACATTCTATGTGTGACAATTACCTGTTCATCGGTTGATGGACTTGTGTGTGTGTGTGTGTTATGAAAAATGTCACTGTGAACATTCTTATTCAWATTTTTCTATGATCCTGAAATTTCTCCATCCCATCCCATGTTCTTCTGTTTAATGAATGTTCTCGTACCTCATCTTGTTCAAATCCCAGTGATGCATCCTCGTGTCATTCACATGTCCTAAGGAACTCAGGTTTCAATTTCAGTTCATAGTTTAGTTTTATTTTCTCCTATGGTTCCTTTTCGTGATTTACTTTTCTTCCTATGTTTCCAGCAATGCATTAAAATTGTTGTAAGCCAGGAATGGTGGCTCACACCTGTAATCCCACTGATTGAGGAGGCTGAGGCAGTAGAATTGCAAGTTCAAGACCAACCTCAGCAACTTAGCAAGACCCTGTCTCAAAATAGAAAATGAGCCAGGCACGCCTGTAATCCCAGAAGTTTGGGAGGCTGAGACAGGACTGTCACAAATTCAAGGCCAGCCTTAGCAATTCAGCCAGGCCCTAAGCAACTTAGTGAGACCCTGTGTCAAAATAAAAACAAAAGGGCCTGGGGATATAGCTCAGTGTTAAAGTACCCCTGGGTTAAATCTCTAGTACCAAAAAATAAAAATTAAAAAAAGGGCTGGGGATGTACCTTAGTGGTTAAGCACCCCTGGGTTCAACTCAGTACTAAATAAATTAATATTGTTTTATATTGAATTTGTTGGTTTTTAGCCAGTAATGGAGTAGGACTGTTCAGAGTATTTTGTCTACCATATTGCCAAAGGGAAAGTAAAATTATACTCTTAGATTTTTTTATTTGAAATTAACTGTTAGTTCAACCACAAACAAATTGCCTCACCAAATTGCTACTTGTGTTTCATCCAGCTTTTGCTAGTACCACTAAATTTTATGAAAGCTCTCTCTGCTAGATAAGACTGTAACATTCCTTTTAGGTTCTACTAAGTTTATTTTTTGTTATTTTCTGGTTCTTACAGGATTATGTCGACAAAGAGAAGGCAATTGCCAAAGCCTTGGAAGACCTCAGAGCCAACTTTTACTGTGAACTCTGTGATAAACAGTATCAGAAACATCAGGAATTTGACAACCATATTAACTCTTATGATCATGCACACAAGCAGGTGAGGGATAATTATTTCCTAACAAGGCTAAGGATACTTTATCTCTTGCTGTCACTTTTGAATTTTTTGAGTGTACCCAAAAAACCTGGTGACTGTAGTTTCTGTGTCTTCCAATCTTTATATGAAGTCATCTGACATACTTGATTTTTCTCAGTAGCAGAAGTCCTGACATAGACACCCCCTTCCTGTCCCTGTCACTCCCCACCCCTATGTTAAGTATAATGAAGAATTGTGAGTTTCATAAACTTTATGTATTTGTGGTTTTGAGGAATTTCTAAATTTTTATTTAATTTGGTAATTCAGCTAGGATTGCCAGAAGCTTTGTTTCCATTTCTCCCTTTGTTAAATTTAAAAGAGTTATTCTAAGCTGTGGTCTTTTCAACCTGTGAGTCTAAGAGTTTATGTTTTATTCACTATTGTTTTCTACCAGTAAGTCGTTTTGTTATTCACTACCTTGGAAGGTGGATAAATCTTGAGAAGGAAAATAAAATTAGCTGCTATCTAATTTTTAAAATAAACAAAGAACATCTCTAATGCTGCATGTTGAAAGAGTTGAGAAATTAATTATTCTTTCTTTGCATTCTTTTGCTTTTATTGAGTTAGAAAAGAAACTTGTACCTGATTAATTTCTGGCAGTAATTCCCATGGGAAGTTTAGAAAGGGGAAAAGAATTTTTAGGATCTGTAGGACAAATCTGGCTCATTAAAGAATTTTGAGCCTTTTCATTTTGTAGGACTTTGCATGACTTGCTAGGTCTTTGTGGGGTATAATATTTGTATTTGTTAGACTTATAATTTTGTGTCTTTAAGCTGGAACTGTTGAACCCGCAAAAACGTTTTTTTAAATTTACTTATTTTTTAGCTTTTCCTTCATCTTCCATGTAACCAGTGGAAGATGAAGATTTCTATGCATAAAAGACAAGCTTTGACCAAGTTTTACTGTGACAAGGAGAGTTTGTAAGCTGGTTGTGATGGGTTTTTTGTTGTTGTTGTTGTTTTGCAACAATCCGTTTCATATTTAATCATGTATAACCAAGTTAAGATTCTTCTAGATAAAATTATATTCAAGGCAGCTTTTCAATTTATTACACTCCTTTGGGATATTGCTTTTAATATACTGTCAGCTGTGCTTGAGAAGGCTGGTTTTGAACTTGTGGTCTTCCTGTCTCAGCCTCCTTGAGCCACTGTGATTACAGGTGTGTGCCCCCATGCCCAGTTTGAATACTATTTATCAGTAACTTTTCCAGTTTTTCACTGTGTTTGTAATTTCCAATTTTCAAGTTATCATTTTTGATAGTATTAACAAAGACAGAGGTACTTGCCTACCTTTTTGGGCTCTTGAGAATTTCTTGAGTTAAGAAGTGTCTGTGAGGGCTGGGGATATAGCTCCGTTGGTAGAGTGCTTGCCTCTAGGTTCAATCCTCAGCACCACATAAAAATGAAATAAAGGTATCATGTCATCTACTATAAAAAACATTTTTAAAAAAGTGTCTGTGATATATTAAAAGGCCCCAGATGATACTTAAGGCATAAAAGGGACATATAGAAGGATTATACTTCTAGTTGATAGGAAGTCTTTTGAGTAAAGTTTCAGCTAGAAGTAAACCAGGGGAAGTGTAACTCAAACTTGAATACTGTATAGAAAAATAATTATTTTTTATTTTTTTTAAGTGAAGTCTTTTTTTTTTTTAGTTGCTTTTTACAGGGAAAAATTTGACCAAAACAGATTTACAAATTAAATCTGAACTATAGTATAGAACTAATAAAATTCCTATGAACCTTAATTTAATTGACTTATGATAATGTTTTAGTGGTGTTGCTCCTATCCTGAGTGAGATAGAAATTGTTGATAGCTTTGGTTTATTAAATCCACCTGTTTACTCTCCTGCTCACATTGTGTTAACTCAGTTCTTTCACCACTGTTCTCTATACTGTTCTCTGTTGCAGTAGTTCTCAACCTGGGGAGATTTTGTCCCCCAGGAGCACTTGGCAATGTCTGTAGACATTTTTGGTTGTCACAACTAGTGGGGTAGTGTTATTGACATGAAGTGAGTAAAGGCCATTCTTACAATGCATAGGAAAGCCCACTGAAACAAAGAATTACCTGGACCAAAATGGCAATCAATAGTGCTGAGGTTAAAAAGCCCTATACTTTTAGAACTACTGAAAACCTTCAAATACATGTGATATTGTAATATCATTTGGCCCTTGCTTAGTACAAACATATCATCATTTTACATCCCTAATGTTGTTGTAAACATTTATGAAGTGCTCATCAAAGTAGCCCAAAATATTCACTGATTACTTGTTGAGATCATAATCAAAATCAAAATATAAAATTAAGAATTTCTCAGAGGGCTGAGGCTGTAGCTCAGTGGCAGAGCACTTGCCTTGTGAGGCACTGGGTTCAATCCTCAGCACTGCATTAAAAATAAACAAATAAAATAAAGGCAATGCTGTCCATCTACAACTACAAAAAAAAAAAAAACTTTAAAAGAAAGAAAGAATTTTTCATAGAGAAAAATACCTATCCGCTGAAACAGTGTCTGTGATCCCTGATCTGGGAAAAATCTTTAGCTTATATGATTAATGAGCACATGAGTTCATTTCTTCACCTTAATCAAGAATTCATCTTAACTATTAAAAAAAGAACAGATGTACTTTAAGTTTATTTTTTGTTTTGTTTTTGATGGAGTGTTATTCATTTGGTTGAAATGTAGGCCTTTTCAAAACCTTTCTTCATATTGCTATCTTACTGCAAATGGTAGAATCTTGAAATAGGATGTTGTAAATTTATCAACATTAAGACCAGTACTAAATTTTTATGGAATTCTTTTCTTCACTTTGAATTTCTAAGGAACCTTTAATTATCCTTTGTGTAACACAATTAAATAACCCCTAATAAGAGATAGGGTATTTTTCATTCCTCTTTCATGGACATGAACTCAGCGTACAAATGGGCCTACCATTTTCCCAAATTCATGCTCTAAAATCATAAAGACACCCTGTCTTGTCTTCCAGGAAGGCACACAGGATTATTATGAATCTGAGATAATAGGTAAGTACTTTACCCCACATTAGTAATCCTTAATTTGCATCTTCCATCAAATTTTGACTATTGAAGTTTTTCAAAGAAATGACCTTTAAGTGGTAAACTACTAGTATATGCAGGACCTGAAAATACCCTTACCTTTACTAAGCTCAAATAATCCCTCAAAAWAAAAGCTACATAGTTGCCCTTATTTATGGTGAGGGAAGATGTCATATGCCTCTCCCTCTACTAGTTTTTCACAAATTTTCTAAGGTCTTACAAAGTTATTAATGTGAAAATATTGAGACCCAGCTAAAGGGGGCTGTGGCTCAGTAGTAGCGCCCTTGCCTGGCATGTGTGAAACACTGGCTTCCATTCTCAGCACCACATATAAATAAATAAAATAAAGGTCTATCAACAACTTTTTAAAAAAAGAAGAAGAAGAAGAAGACCCATCTTAATCTTCACAAATGTAAAAACTAGCAGAACATTTTGGCTCTTCTCAGTAGTTTAACACTAGTTTTCAAGTGATCCGTTTTATTACATTTTGAAATCTCCAAAGATGGTCCCTACAGTTCCTCAAAAGATAACCCATTTTTTGAAGCTATTTTATAAGTTCTAATGTGCACTCAGTGAACATTAAGTTGATCATCTCTTACCTCTCTTGGCTTTATTTTGAGTTAAATTGAAACTAAAGATTTTTCCATTCCCATCCTTAATCTTTTTAATCATTTGTATATTTTTTTTTTAAATACTTGTCTAGAGCTGGGCACAGTGATACATCCCTATAATCCCAGTGACTCAGTAAGCTGAGGCAAGAGGATCTCAAGTTGAGGCCACTCTGGGTAGCTTTACAAGTTACTGTCTCAAAAAAATTTTTTAGCCAGGTGCAGTGGCCCATGCCTCTAATCCCAGCAGCTCTGGAGGCTGAGCTGGGAGGATTGTGAGTTCAAAGACAGCCTCAGGAACTGCAATGTACGCAAGTCAATGAGACCTTTTCTCTAAATAAATTACAAAATAGGACTGGGAATGTGGCTCAGTGGTCAAGTGCCCCTGAGTTCAATCGCGAGTACAAAAAAAAAAAAAATTATATATATATTTTTTAAAGGCTAGAGCCAGGCGTGGGGGCACATATTATGATACCAGCAACTTGGGACTGGAAGGTAGGAGGACTGCCAATTCAAGGCCAGCCTCAGCAACTTAAAAGGTCCCTGTGTCAAAAGAAAAAATAAAAATTGTCAGGGAGCTGGGCACAGTGGTGCACACTTATAATCCCAGTGGCTCAGGAGGCTGAGGCAGGAGGATTGCGAGTTCAAAGCCAGCCTCTGAGAAAGTGAGGTGCTAAGGAACTCAGTGAGACCCTGTCTCTAAATAACATAACAAAACAGGGCTGGGGATGTAGCTCAGTGGCCAAGTGCCCCTAAGTTCAATCCCTAGTACTCCTCCCTCCCCCTAAAAAAGGGTCAGGGATGTAACTCAGTGGTAAATTGCCCCTAGTACTCCCATGCTCCCCAAAATAAAATAAATAAAAAGGCGAGAGATGTAGTTCATTAGTAGTGTGCTAGCCATGTATAAGGCCTTGGATTCAATCCCCAGTACTGGAAAAATGATCATAATAATACTCAATGCCTTTTCCCCCCTTTCTTGGTCCCTTGTTACCTTTTCAGGAGTCGTCTTTTGTTTGTTTGCTTGCTTGTTTTTCTTTTCTTTCTTTTTTAATTCCTCTAATTTTATCTTCTATTTGTGCAACTAAGGGTCCTTCAGGTACATAAGCAGATCACAAATTGCCTCACCCATGTACTTTGTCTGGTCTTTATGGTGTTATTCTTCCCTTGTTAATTTTAATTGGTTCCTAATATTTAAAAAAAATCAAAGCAGGTCACAGTGGTGTATGTCTGTAGTTCTAGCTACTTGAGAGGCTGAGGTAGAAAGATCACTTGAGGCTAGCAGTTGAGGGCAGTGTGTACAAT